AAACCCATTCCAATTTCGATTCCGATTCCGGACCCTATTCCTGCAAACCAAACGGAGCCTTAATCATATGTTAGTAATCAAACTAACTCGCAAACATGCATCTGGCCATCTCACTTTCATTATTGTGAAGAGGAAACAGAAGAGATAATGAAATCCATACCTGTCAATATAGCCATTTGATTTCTTTGAAAGTATTTTGCCCTTCCAATTGAACTCTGCAAGTAAAATGACGATATAAATGAGCATGATACTTGCTTGTTCAGAAACAAGAAAAATAATGTTTTCTAGTAAGAAACTAGAGGATCCACAAAATTTGCTTTCAGACATCAGTTTGTATTCTGACATAAGATATCTTGAATTGAGGTCTGCTTCTTATGACAAAGAGGATTCATATGGGATACTGGTTTTGGTGATGTGTTGCAATATTCCAGTTTCAGAAGTTCCCAAAATTTTGAAGTAAAAGAGGAAAGAGATCATACTACAATTACAGTTAGGACCATTTGACAGTGACAGAAGTGACTGAGCTAAATGACTTACGGATTTATCTTTCAGTGGATAAAAAAAATAATAATTATATAATAAAATAGTCATGGGTGTAGTAACTGATCCAACATCAACTTCAGCCATAAGGCCAAAGGTACAGACATTCATGGCCCATTTGGTTCATGGGAATAGGGTTAATAGGGTTTGGAATCCAAATTGGAATGGGTCCATCTCTTTGGTTGAACAGAATCAGAATTTCATTTTCATTATTCTTCCATTTAAGAGAATGATTATTCTTTTGTCCTTTTCTCCTTCTTGGGAATGAAATCTCATTTCAGTTTATTCCAATTCCAATTCAGATTACTGTCCAAATCAAACAGATTATTGGTATAGATTATTCCAATTCTGATTCCAAAGGATTTAAAATCTGATTTCAACTTCTAACCAAACAAACCCTCAGTTCAGCCACTTTTGCTGTTATCAAATTGTCCTCTTAGTGTTTGCACTATGTTTTCACCCATTATTGGAAAAGAACATTACTCTGGATGGTTATGGTTTATGGATGCTTGCATCAGCTTGATAAGATCAAAGGCCTGAGACATCTTGTTTCTTGTAGGTGTGAGGCAAGAAGCTTAACCTCATTAGTTTCTGTTGTCTGCTGAAAGCTATTATTTCCTTTTTAGTATTATTACATACTATATATACATTAGATGGGGAATCGGGGTTTGGGGCGGAGCTCGCAGGTAAGCCCACTCACCATATTGAGTCAACCGTTATTATTTCAAATATTTTATTTCTGTATGTTACCTCAAGGCCCCATTTGTTTTTCGGTAAATTATTTACTCAGGTAAATCTAATTATGTGGGTTCTAGGAAAYATTTATCTGTGTAAGTGCATTTATCCATGTTCTTTTATTTCTCATATAAATAAGGCAATGATCATTATTTTATTCATAAAAATTTATTATTGAAAGGGGCATTTTTTGTTTCATTCAAGTGTTGACAATTTCCCCCCTAAGTGGGAAAGTTATTTATTCACTTAGGAATTTATCTGGATAAGTGATATCTAGGAAAATAAACTTTCCCTGATCTCCACATAAATTTGAAAAAAGAACATGGGATTATTGATCAATGGGAGAAACCAAAATCCCATTGACCAACTTTCTCCTCTCAAAATCCGAAAAAAAAAATGCCCCCTAAAAACCAATGTTTTCAAAATCAGACCACATAAATCAATTACTTGACCAGTTCCATTTTATCCCAAAACCGCTTTTTAGCCAAAAACCGTTGATTTGATCAATAAACTGCCGACTCAGACAATTGAACTATTAAATCCAAGAATGATTTTTGACCGTTTTTATGTTATTTATTATTATTATTTTTTTTTATTAAGACAGGCCATTCAGACCAGTTCCATGTTATTTATTATTATTATTATTATTATTATTTTTTATTAAATCCGATTGTCAATGCTTAAATAATGGAGCAACTTTGACAAACAAAAAGAGCATGACAGTAGGGATCACAAAAAAGACGAGGCAGGCCGTATGCGTATCATGCACTCCAAAGGAACGTGCGGTTTCTGTTAAGACAAGACCGTCATTGTACATGGCACTGTACCCTGTTAGATGACTTTGGTAAGAAGTAAGGTCTGTTTGGATAAATTTTTTCCTTTAAATGTTTTGTATTTTTGTTAATAATAGCTTTTAAAAATGATTTTTGACCCTTGAATGGTGAAAAGGCCATTTTAAGACAAAATCAAATGGCATTAAAGATGTTGACGAGTACATTAGACAAATAATAAAATAATAATGCCCGTTGATGTGGGTCTCACACAAAATTCTCACTTGTTTTTTCCCCTAGAAATTATTTAAGCTAAAAGAGCCAAATTATTTTTCTATTTTATTATTAATTAATTTTTAAATAAAAATAATTATTTTGTTTTTATTCTTGGTTAGATGTGAATAAGGTAAACTTTAAGTGGAATTAACTTGTTTTTTCCCCTTGAAATTACTTAAGTTGAAAGAGCCAGATTACTTTTTGTTTTATTAATAACTCTTTATTTTGTTGATAATTAATTATTAAATAAAAATAATTTATTATTAATTAATTTTTAAATATAAAATAATTAGTTTGGTTTTATTCTTGATCATATGTGAATAACTAGGAATTTTAAGTAGGATCCACCTATATTCTTCCTTGAAATTACTTAAATTGAAAGAGTTAGATTATTTTTTTTGTTTTATTAATAATTAATTATTAAATACAAATAATTATTTTGATTTTATTCTTGATCACATATGAATGATGGGAATTTTATGTGGGACCCATGTATAATTTTTTTGACTTAAACAAATGGCACATTATTATTAAGGGGTTTCTATAGTTCAGTCCAACTCAAAAATCTGATCCCCACCATATAGGTCAGATGAATCCTACCAATGGATTGATGTTAAATTCACGGGCAAGATGCGGTTTACAGGGGGCTACTAGTAGAGTAGGAGGGGCTGCAATTTCAGATTTTTGAAGTGGATTGGAGTCCATTTATCCCTATTACTAAATACAAATAATTATTTTTGTTTTTATTCTTGATCACATATAAAATGATGAGAATTTTATGTGGGACCCATGTATAATTTTTTTACTTAAACAAATGGCACATTAGAAAATGTTATATTATTTTATTATCTCCGGTGTATGACCTGACACGACAATACGTGGGCCGATGAAATGGATCATGTTGGCACGCAGGATTCCAATTCCTATCTAAACCAAACAAACATAGAGCTGTAAATCGGTCTGTACCACCTATGACCCGACATGATAATACGCAGGTTGTGCCAAGCACGACATGATGGAATGGGTTGTGTCGGGCTTGGAGTTTTAGGTCCATGGGCCAACACAACACAGCATGACTAAGTAGGTCGTGCCGCTCGCCGCCCACGTGTCGACACGGCCCAAAATGGCCCATATATATAAATATATATTTATATGTTTATATATAATATATAATATATAATATATATATAATTTTGTTTACAATTTTATTATACTATTTTATTTAATTATTATATATATAAACAATCGTATATGTCAAAAATCATATAAAATAAAAATTTAAACATTTTTTTCAATTTTTTTAAAATGGACCACTTATAGTTTGGCCTGGTCCACGGCCTGGCCTGGTCCAAGGCTTGGCCCATGGATCAGCCCGACCCATGACACGGCATGGGCCTGTGCAAGCTCAAGCTGTGGGCCATGCCGGGTCGACCCCCAAATTATCCCAAGGAAGGGAGGCATAGCCCGGGATGTCGCGTGGGCTGGCACAACATGGCCCACACTTTGTGCAGGCCACACGTAGGTCGTGCTGTGCTGACCCAACACGACCCATCTGATAGGTCTAAATGAATCATAGGAATAGACCATTCCAAATCCAATTCCATCTATGAACCAAACGGACCATAAACAATTTAAGTAATGAGCCTAAGACTTAAGTTATAAGTGGATTACAAAATTATATCGAGTTGGTGTAACTTGGCTTTACACTATAATACCGTATGAATTTATTACAGCACACTAATTCATTTGTATTTCTACAAGATAACAAGCCTAAGATTTAAGTTATAAGTTGACTATTGGTGTAATAACCTATCACCTTTTTGTTAAATTGGTTTTATATTAGTTAATACGGTCTGATTAATATTATATAAATTTCTTTATTAGGACAATAATAATCCATTTGTAATCTACGTGTTACAATGCGGATGGAAGTGTAACCCGCCCCGCATTGTAACATGTAGGTGTGTAGCCCATCCGGACTCATCTCTAACACAGTTCGTTTTCGTTTGAAAATAGCTTTTTGACTATAGATTGAAGATAAACATTGCCTTTTTAAACTTCGCCTGTCAAAAGTGGCCTTTTCCCAAAATTCAAAGGGTTGTCCGAGCCCAAAATACCTTTTAGAAACACTAATAATCTGAAGCCAAAATATCCACAAAACCAAATTGGGGTTTCAGCACAAATCATGAAGCCCACCGACATTTTTTTTTACTGTTTTGGTTTTTCTTTAAACAGTCTTAATAATGTATTTTTTTTCCATTCTTTTATAGGGTGTATATGTGTGTTTGTATGTTTGTGTGTGGAATTGAGATAGCACGCTCTTGCGGTCTGCAGCACCTCCTTCATGAGTTCAAAGTTCAAACCCATGGAGATGAAGATCCTTACTCAGAACTGGCATTGAGAACTGGGTCATTCTTTAATGCTCTCTTTTTTAGTCGGTTGTACTTTGATAACCGTTGAAGTGGCTGAACTGAATGGTTTATTGCTTTATGTTTTAGTGAACTAAGTTATTAAAGAGTTTAGCCTATGAGCTCCTTAATCGCTGAAGCTGCTGTAGGGTTGATTATCATACCCTTTAAATTATTTTATCCATTAAAATACAAAGCAAAATTCATTCAGTTGAGACTCTTAAGCTGTTCCCTTGATCCACAAAATGCAACGTTTGAGCTGAAAATTTAATTGGCTGATTCAGAGAAAAGGAGTAAGTGGAAAATATTTACTTGTAATTTCTTCAAAAGTACAAAGATTTTCCATGCAAAAAAAGAAAGAAAAAAGCAGCAGCAGCAACAGAAGAAGAAGAAGAAATGTAGTCTGGTTTTATCCCTTCTTACAATGCCGACTCACACGGTGAAGCCATCCAATCCCTTTCAAGGCCTTGGAAAGTCTAACAAGATTAGACCTCCCCATTCCCAACTTCATCTTCCCTGTTGAGAACCTCAAAGCTTGTAGGCAACACAATCGTTCAGCTGTTTCTTCATCTTCCTCTTCATCCTCATCGTACTCAACTCTGCATTTCTTTGTCTTCTTTTCCTTTTCCTTCTCTTTGTCTCTGTTTTCCACCTTAACCTTGCCTGATTCAGCTTCATAAGCCTCCCATAGTAAATCCATCCCTTCCTCTTTATCAACATTCTGTCTTTCTTCATAAAGCTTGTATGCTAATGTCCTCTTCCATTCCTTTTCTTTCCTCATTAACCCAAAGCTCCCAAGATTTGGAACCAGAGGACCATTAAGCTCTTGTGAAGTATTCTCTCCAGCATTGTCTGAACTTACATTGAGTGGGTTTTCGGTTCCCATGTAACTCTGTGCCTCAGATCCAGTACCAATTTGCAGCTTCATTTGGCATTCTCTAACCTTGTTGAGCACTGTATCCAGTGGCCGAACTTCCGTATCTTCTTTATAAGAAGTCTCTTCTAAGAGGCCTTTCTGGCTAATTCCTTCCAATTTCTGCCTAGTAATTTGGAGTGGATTTTCTTCTACATTGTAATCTAGCACTTCAGACACACTTGAACCAGCTTGATGATCTGAACAATTGACTACTTGAGTTTCATCAGTTTGTGGACAATTCTCTTTGTACCTGGTTTGTGAATTTCCAGCCAGATGTTCTTCTATGTCCAAACAAGTTGTATCAAAAACTACAGTACATGCTTCAAGCTCTTCGAAAAGGCAAAATTCAGCGACATCATTGTCAAGCTGCGACCGCAATGCATCTAGAACTTTATGAAATGAACTGATGCAGAACCCCACCTTAGAGCCTGAGACATCAGGAGCAAAATCTTGGGTGGGAAGTCCAGAAGAGATGGTGAGGAAAGCCAGGAGGAGGAGAGAGGTTGTCATGAAGAGGGGAGAAAGAAATGAGACAAGTCTTACAAGATATGGGGAGAAGAACATCAAGTAAGAGAAATATAGTGGGTGAGAGAGTATGATGGAACAAAAGAAGATAAAGTCAGAAAGGAGAAGGCTATAGAAATTGGTGTTAATAGTGTTGAAGAAACAGAATTCAGACATTTCTTCTCTCTTCAGGTGAGAAATAGAGACAGGGATGGAGAGAAAACAGAATGAGATGGAAATGAAAATGGAGACTGTGATGAAGAAAAGAAGAATGGCTTTTGTTTTGCTGTAGGAAAAACGAGAAAGAAGAGAAGGGCGTGATTGGAACAGTGAAAGGGGAGTGATGAATAAAGGARAGTAAGAAGAAAACAAAGTAACCAACACACGGGTGAAGCAACAGCTTTAGAAACGTCCTTCCAAGCCATCAATAATGGTTCCTTTGTAGGGACCAAATTACCAAAATGTCCATTTACAGATCACGAATCCTTCCACATATGAGACATTTCATCGTAATATTTCAACCACATTCCCCATAGTATCTTCTTGGGTCAAATACGTAATAATTGGTATCAGATCCCATCCCACATCCCAGGTTCAAATTACTATAAAGGTTATAAACAGCAAAAGCCATTGAAGGGGAAAGAGCTACCTGCCGCCAAATTAAGGAGCAAGGCTTAGCTGAATGCGATGGCTGTTCAGCGAGTTGTGTAACCAAACAACTAATGATAATGTTCTAGCCAGTAATCAAATATACGAAAAAGTACAGATACATCCAATGCAGAATTCTGAATTCCAGCCCCCCTACTATTAGTCTTTTCTCCCCCTATAAATCACATTCTGGCTGTGAATTTAGCATCAATTCACGGTCAGGATGCATTCCCCCTGTACTATGGAGCTATAAAATTCTAATTTGGGATGATTGGCCATTCTCCCTAAAATATATAGGACCTGTTTCTTTCACAATGAGGCCCATGAAGTTATTATTGGCATGGAATATTATCATTTATTCCACAATCAGTTGAACAGCCATCACTTAGAGTGAGAGCCATTACTCGGTGTAATGGTAAAATCTTGGTTTGCCAAGTGTGAGAATATAGATCCRGAGACCAAATCAGCCCCCCTTAAGATTGTCCCCCACAACGTCCCACAGAACATCCCTGCTGTGTATTGGGAACATCTCCCGATGATAATCTCAGAAATGATGATGTCATCATCGGGAGATGTTCTCAATACACAGCAAAGATGTGCTGTGGGGGGCAATCTTGTGGGGGGCTGATTTGAACTCATAGATCCGGGCCTCAGAACTGCCACTTTGTGCGACTGTAGATCTCCTACCCACAAAACACTACCTCCGTGCATTGAGAACATCTCCCCATGCATAATAACATGTAAAAGCATGAGATGTTCCTCATGTGTGACTGCGATCCCATGTGGGTGGGTGTGGGTAGAATCATCATGGGTAGGAGACCCGGACTCATTTTTTGCAAAAAAAAATACAAAAAACAAAAAAACAAGGCCAAAGATTAGGTCTGTATCCAATGCATCCCTCCCAAGACCCCCAAATAATCAGGATCATTATTGGATAATGGCCTTTTTTTAAGAGTGAGAACCACTAGGGTGTTGAATGCGGAAGAGGTTAAATGGACTTGGTGGTATTTAAAGATGATAGAGGTTAAATGGATTTGCTTGACATGTGACAACAATCTTAGCTTTGTTTATTTACGATGCAAATCTAAATTGGATACAATTTTTGCACCCAATTCAGTTTCTCATCTGTTTGTTTGCAACTATTATTTGGACTCCTACCTAATTAATACAACCTTTGTATTTTTTGTTCATTTACACTCATTGGCAGTACAAATTTTGCATCCAAAAAATTGGTACAAAATTTGCACAATCTTCCACCCACCTCAATTTTTCCTCATATAAAGTGTAGACCACATCTTGCTTTCAGCCTCATTCCAAAACCAATAATCCTCCTCCTACCCCTGACAAATCAAATAAATAAATAAGACATAAACAAATCTAAAGCAAAAATAACTAAAATTCAACAAAACTAAGCCTAAGGGTTTTGATGTATTGGTTGAGTATGTAAAATTATTATCCTATAAAATAATATGATAAGGATATATTCCTGCACTCTTTCACCATTGGATTCCCCTTCTAACACGATTTTAGGAAAAGGGTGCTAGATGAGTAATACATCTAAAAGCTACCCTCTCCGTAAGGATATAATGAAAGGCTATTGACACAGGCAAGGGTGTTATTGTAATTAGACTATAATCATATGGGTAATTTGGACATAAATTGGATGGGAAGACAACAGAAGGTGTGAGTGCGGATTAGGGTTTAGGCGGTATGGTGGATATTCACATGGAGGATCATTCATGGCCACCTGAATGCACCCCCATCCATGCATTTCTTTTGGTCTCTCTTTTTCACCTAACGAGGGGACCATGTGTTTGTTGTTCGTTACCTTGTTACATCCAGGGTTCGGCTGTAAGGATATTATGGGAATAAGGACAATTTTTCTCTTCTGTTCTCTCTCTCCCCTTCCCCTTTATCAACAACTATTTCTCACTCACTTTATTGAGATGGGTAGAATGCCCTAATAGGGTACCCCTCCACTGAATGACAAAAATGCCCTCCTTGTCCTTGTCTCGTTGATTAGAACAAAGTTAGTGGATTTCTACTTCATGGGGTCAGYGTTGTTAATGGTCTATTTTCCCTTTAAAAGATTAGTTCTGTCCTGAAGAAAAAAAGTGTATAATGGTTTTAGTCAACCCCATCTCCTTTTAACATTCCTTCCTGATGGGCTCTGTTGATAGGCCGGGAATTGTGTAATACCCATGGGGGCCCATCAAGATAAAAAGCCCAGATGGTCATTGGGCCTGGAAGCCCGAATTTCTGTTTCTTTTTAATAAATTCCTTGGATGTCAACGAAAGACATTGAATCGGTAGTTGAGATGGTTGCTTGGCATATGGAGGTAAAATGTTTCAGGATAAAATATTTGATCTATATTTGCTTCCATTGTCAAATGAAAATTTTGTTTTCCTTACCATTTGCTTGAAAAGTATTAGAGGGGACGGAAAACAAAGTTTCACTGTAAAAGTAGCCAAAGTTATAACTGCCACATTTCAGACTGAAAAAATTTTAAAGAGACAAACGCAGCCTTAACCCTATAGGATGAATAAGAGAAAAGAAAAGATGTCGTACACATGGATATTCTCACCTCATATTTTYAAACCAAAAGTTTTGATTATAAAAATATTTTTAAAACAGAATCGGACAACAAACCATTCAGGGTCCGGTTCCCAGGTCGAACGGCCTGACCATTCGAACCAAATGGACGGCCTGTTCTAACAAAAAAAATTAAAAAACGGCCAAAAACTGTTGGACAGTTCGAACGGTATGACCACCCAGGTCAATGGTTTGTTGACCAAATCAACGGTTTTTTCCCAAAATGATGGTTCTGGGGTAAAACGGAATCGGTCAGGTGACCATTTCCAGGCTTTTCCGGTCCGATTTTAAAAACCATGGATTATAGTTAATTTCTGTGTCTGTAATGCAAGTTCATTTGCATAGTGCAAATGAAAAGAGTGAAAATTCTGGTTTGTTTTTGCTTCAGCACCACTTCATTTGTACTATATATATATATATATATATATATAGTACTATTAAGAATATGAAACTGCTTGTGAAATATTCCTATTTTTTAACTTAGTCCCTCTTGAAGGTAAAAAATGTAATTTGAATTATTATTTTTTCTCTCATTTAATTTCCTCTCATTGATCCATACCCTCTCTTTAAATCATTCCATTTGACCTGACCTGCTTTTGCACTTGACCTGTAAAAGTTTCTTCTATCTCTTTCCGGTTTACTGTGCAAGTTTCTTTGCCTTGTCTGTTTTCTTTCATCCCCTCCTATCTTTCTCATTCCCTTTCCATTTCTGTTGTACTGTCATCCCTATCCATTTCCTCTTTATGCATGTAAGTAAAGGGTAAATATAAGTTCATTATTTAATCATATTTAACTTTTATGACTTATACCAAAACCAAGATAAGTATCTGTTTTATATAATAATAGTGTAAGGGCATGTGTTATGTATATGTGCAACTAAAAGATAAAGATATAAGTTGACATTTATGATCAAATTTAACTTGTATAACCTGCACCAAAACTAAGCAAATAGCCGCTTTATAATAGCATAGATAGATTAGCATGGTGTATGTAATATGTTACAAGAAATATATTTGACTTTTATGGTTGAGCCAGCTTAGACCTTGACATCCCCAGCCCATTGCTCCCCTAGCCCAGCCTAGACTTTGACTGCCCTCCCCAAAAGCCAAGATTGCTTTTTGCACCTTAAAAAAGGAAAATTCGAAAGAAAACTTAATATGGTACCTCTACAGTTTATGGAAGTTTAGCTAACTACCATTTAGTTGACAATTTGAAGAAATTTTAATAAATCTTAATTTCTAGATATGTTTAGCTAGACGTGCTTTAACTACAACTAAGGAATCCAGTGATTTAATAGATTAACTAGTTAAAAATACTATTTTTATTTTGTAATTAATGGCTAATTTGGTCATTATAACTTAATTTATATTAAATATTTTATTATAAATCTATTTATTTTAATGACTAATTTGATCATTATAACTTATTTATAATAGACAATTTAGGAGATTATACATTTAATTTTATAACTTAAGGGTAAATTATATCACCTTTTTTGTTGTTGTTGCTAGACTACCTGCTCCATCTGTCTCTGTTTTGTATTTTGACTCAAAGGATGTTTTTCCTCTAGCTGGTGTGAAAGATTTTCTTGTCTTCTCTCACAAAAGGTTACGTGCCCCAGATCCTATGCCTTCAACCCACTTCCAACCTAGATCATCCCTCCATTGATGCTCATGTAAGTGATGTTCCTTCAAATTCCGTTTCTATTTATACCACATCTCTTCATCCTTCCTCTCATATTTCTAGACCTCCAAACCGTTATGGTTTCCCTTCAAACCATAATTCCCTGTCTGTTGTGTTATCTATCATAGATATTCCTTGCTTCTATCAATAGGCCATTACCAATCCTCATTGGAGAGAAGCCATGGATATAGAAATTCATGCCTTACATGAAAATGACACTTGGGATTTGGTGGTTCCACCCTCAAATGCTTTAGTCATTAGAAGTCATTGGATTTACACCGTCAAGTTAAAGTCTGATGATTCATTGGATTGGTACAAAGCTCGTCTTCTTTCTCAGGGTTACACTTAGGAATATGGCATCGACTATGAAGAGACATTTGCTCTAGTTGCCAAGATAACTACTATTTGTATCCT